ATTTGTCAAAAAGAAACGTCTTACAGTACAAGTAAAGAGAAAATTCTAAAAAATAAAAAAGTTGAAGGTTAAGGTAAATTTTGGTACTTACAAGTTTTGGCGAAAATCAAAATTTGCCCATATCTTTTTATCGTGTTGACTCAGGACCTTGATTCTTATACAACTAAAAGGGACCATAGACATAGTATTTGGTATAAATTTCAACTTGCTAGGTCCAACCGTTCCTGAGAAAATCGTTGGTGACACACGGACTGACGGACAAGAAAGTGATCTTATAAGGGATCCTTTTTTACCTTTTCACCTTAAAAATTAAGGTTCTTATATCCTCTATATCCCTATATCACATTATTTCTTTGCGATGATTAATTTTACGCAAGGAATTTATAAAATGACACAATTAAATCTCGATCGATACCCAAGGGATCCCTTGCGATATGTAAAAATATCTTACTATAAAGAGGAAACCCAGACTCAGCTTTTTTTAATGAAATAAATACTGGCTGGTTGTAATATTAGGTGGAGTAAGATATGGGACTATATTATAACTAGCTTAGCGCAATGAATTATATGCAGCAGGTCTGTTTTCCTTTCATCCATCAGCACATTCTTTGCGTATTTAATCCCAGATTACAGCGCTGATTTGACGAAGCCCGGCTTACCTACGTTTGGTGCAAGTTATGAGATCGTGGATCGTAGAGGTAGAGCAAAATAGAATTGTATTTACTTTATAATTTTGGTGATTAATAATAATAATAATAATAATATTTTATTCTCTTTTCACAAATGGATACCTAACAAAATAACACAGCACTAGGCTAGCTTCTTAAATCCACATTTGTGAAAGACTGGTGCCTGATGTAGGTTAAAAAAAAACCTGTGTTACAGGTCACCAGGCCCTCCGCGTGGATATAGGAGACAGTCTATACACCGTGTGAGAAAGTTAACAATTAAACAAACTAAAAAGATTACAATACCAAAGAGAAAACAAAGAGGACAAACATTATTTACTTACAAAAAATAATTAAAATGAAAATAGAAATAGAAATGTGTGTGTGTGTTTGTGTTTGTATGTGTGTGTGTGTGTGTGTTCGTGTGTGTGTATGTATGGGTGTGTGTATATGTGAGTGAATGAGCACGAGATTGTGCGTAAGTGATAGTGACTAATGTAGAAAGTGTCATGAGATTGTGTTGAGAGTTTGATATTACTGATAGGAAGGTTAGGGAATATTCAGAATACGGCTTTATTTGAGGATGGTCATTAAATTTTCAGTTGTATCATAATCCAGGGTTTTCAGATAACATTTTAGCATTTGCAGACAGTCAAATTTACTTTTGGGGTATATGTTAAGGATACTGTTCATTTTATTGTAAATATATGACCCAAGAAAACAGAAGAATCTTTGAGAGAGTGAAGATTTAAAATTTAAACGAGGACATACCTTACCTTTTCGTCGCTTATCTTTGAGAAGGTTAACGTCAAACTGAAGCTCGGAGTGTTTTTTAAGTACAGTTTGCAAAATAAATGTTTGTCTTACAGTAAGTATGTCCCATTCGCGATATAGGTCTGCAGTTGGGTAACGTAAGGGGAGGCTGGCAGCAACCTTCAAAATAGCACGTTGCGTTCTTTCAATCTCAATAAGGTGTGTCTTGGCCGCACCTCCCCATGAGGTTATGCAATAATCAATAAGAGATTGACACAATGCATAATAGACCATTTTGAGAGTCTCACGGTCTGCCGAGTGCCTTAATGCTTTGAATATATATATAAGTTTTCGTAATCTAGATACAAGGGTCTCAATATGTGGTTTAAATGTAAGATGTTGGTCAAAAATCACCCCAAGGTATTTAACACTCTCAACTCTCTCAAGAGACGGACAAGAGCAGTCAGAACTTTCATAGGTACAAGTGTGGGCGGTCAGGGTTAAAGATGAAGATGGGAGCAGGTTAGCTCTATGTGCGAAGGCCATATATTTTGTTTTGGAGATGTTTAACGTCAAGATATTGCTTTGCAGCCATTCACCAACCCTATCAAAACCTAGTTGAGCCATGGCGAAGACCGCCTCCCAACTGTTGCCGCTGAAAAATAGTGCAGTGTCATCAGCAAATGTAAAAATCCTACCATTATTGATAGGAAGTTGGCAAAGGTCATTGATGTACACCAGAAAAAGTGTCGGGCCAATAATGCTGCCCTGCGGTACGCCATATTTGATACTCAACTCATCACTTAGTACATGGTTTATCCTCACGCGCTGCTTTCTGCCAGTAAGATAGTCTTCCATCAATTTTAGAGGAGTTCCTCTTATACCAAGCCCTTCTAATTTTTGTAATAGGTGCGGGATTGAGACAGTGTCAAAAGCCTTCTGAAGGTCAAGGAACAGCGCAAGGCATTTCTTTTTGTCATCTAAGTCGGTGACGATAGAGTTCAGCAATTCATGAACCGCATCATTAGTACATCGACCTGTCCGAAAGCCGTATTGAGAGGGGGAGAGGAGATTATTAACTTCGAGAAATTTTATGAGTCGCTGGTTTATTAGGCGCTCCAGAACTTTAGACAGTGCTGGTAGTATGGAGATTGGACGGTAGTTACTAACACAGTCTCTTTCACCAGCCTTATTGATAGGTTTGATAACTGCTGTTTTGAACGCTGCAGGGCAAATACCTGTAGAAATGGACAAGTTACAGATATGCGTTAAAGGAGAGGTAAGGATGCTTGCATACCTCTTTAAAGTTTTAGTAGTGATTTGATCAATACCTACAGCACAGTTTTCTTTGAGACCTTTTATAAGGGTAAAAACTTCCTTTTCGTCGGCTGGAAGAATGACAAATGAATTTAGAGTTGCTGCTGAATGATAATTTTGCGTTATTTTGGGTAAAGAAGATTTAGCGGGGGATACCTTTCTAGCCAGGTTTTCGCCAACGTTTGAAAAAAAATGATTAACTTTGTTTATATCCTTTTCGGGACTGTTAAGTGACAAGAGAGATGATGAACTATCAGTTTTCCCAATAGTCCCACTTATTTTTTTAATAACATCCCAAAGCTGTTTTTTGTTACTCTTTGTATTTTCAATCTCCTGCTTTTCATATCTCTTTTTTGTTCTTTTTATTAAAGAATTGCAAAAATTTCGGTAGCGTCTGTATGTAAGCTTAATGGTCTCGTCGTTAGGTTTTTTTTTAAGCTTTTTGTGGAGGTTGTCCCGGTTTCTCATGCAACGGAGTAGACCTTCAGTCACCCATGGCTTAGTTATTAATTTTCTATTTGTGCCTTTGACTATACTTGTATTATTTTTTATAGCTGTGGACAGGTATGAAACGAGAAGATCAGCGCAAAAGTTTGGGTCTTGGCTATTAAGGATAGGCTGAAAGTCCATGTTTTCAAAAGTTTTATCGAGATTTACGTAGTTAACTAGGTGATACGTTTTATTTAGGTAATTCAAACGAGATTTATGTCTACAGCTAATAGCCACACTCTCATGATCTGTGATTGATGTTTCGAAAATAAAGCACATGGCGTTCAATTTGGTCTTAACCATCATGTGGTCTAGACATGATAGGCCATGCGTGGGTAATGTATGAGCAGGGAGTAGACCATGACTAGTTAAGGTGTTCAGATAGTCGTAAGATCGCTTATCAGGACTGTTTGGAACTATATTGATATTTATATCACCACAAAAGTAAATGTTTTTGAAGGTCTTGAATTGGTTTAGTAAGGAATTAATTGAGTCGACAAAGCTTACTGTGTTAATTTGACTTGGTGGGCGATATAATCCGATAATGCATGTGTCTCGGTCCAATTTTAACACTAGGCAATTGGCATCAGTAACGATAGGTTCCAAGAATGTTGGATTGAGAAGCTTGTTGTAATACATAACGACACCTTCGTTTTGTGACTTGTGTAAAGTGGTCGCTATATGGTTGTAATTATCGAGGGTAGGGATAGACTTTGCACACGGAAGCCAACACTCTGTGAGGACCAATACATCCCAGAATATGGCTGATCTTTGCAGAAGAGTAACGAAGTTTGGCATGTTGCAGTTAATACTACGAATATTCTGAGCCAGTATATTAATATTAAATTTATCAGATGAAATGTAACTTTTGGCATTTTCTATGTCGCACCTGACAGTAGTTGCTATTTGAATTGAGTCCAGATCAGAGCTTAATGTTTCGATGTTTTGCATATTGTAAAATAATTAGTAAGATAGACTAACCATAGTCACGTTGTATACGTGACTTGAGAAAATGGGAATTGAATAAGCTGTGATCTGGGACTTTCATTGGTTTAAGTATGGATTCTTGACATATCGAAATAAGTAAAAGGATGATGTTACTACTACTGATTAGAGTTACTCGTTTGGATAACGTGTGTTGAGAGTTAGTGTTGAGTTGTGAGTGATGAGTATTATGAGTGATTGTATTTATGTATGTATACGGTAAAGATAGGAACACACTAAAACTAATATAAAAGTGTAGATAAAATAATAAAAAAGCAAGGAAACATGCTAGGCAAACTAAGTAAAAACAAAAATACTGGACAAGGACTAGTCACATGGTATGCTGCAGGACATCACTTTCTTCTTCAATACGAGTTGGTGCTGAGTCAGCTTCTCTTTTAATATATACCTTCCCACTTGAGGTCCATGCTTTAAAAAGTTTTTTGGTCTTGACGCTTGAGCGCGCCATGTAAAAGAGATGTCTTGCTTTGGAAGTTAGATACTCCGATATGTATAGTGTACAAGGCGCACCCGGAAGTTTAATGGACTCCGTGTTTAGTTGTGGTTCTTTTTTATCGCGTTTGCTTTTATTGTATGATTTGTACATAGAAATCATTGAGTCCCTCCTGAAAGACGTGGTAAAATCAACTACAACGGCTGACCTGGTACGAAATATGTCTTTTATTTCGGATTTATGTATAGGAGTCTCTAATCCTAACGTCAGACCGACTTGTTGTATAGTCTCTATTAATAGTGCCTTGTTTTCGTGTTCTTGACTAGGTAAATTACGGATTTCTATCGTCGAACGTCGTACACTCCTTTCTAGGCTGTCTAGATTTCGTTCTAAGGTCGATATTCGCTCCCTATATGCGCCATTTTCTCGTTCCAGCTGACTGATTTTCATGAGGAGGGCATCGTGCTTATTGGTTAAAGTTTCAACAGATTTCTGTATTGCCTGGTTCTGTGTCATGACAGTGGCGAGAGTGTTATTTAATAAATCAAATTTAGTTTCCTGTTGAGTCATTATTTGATCGAGCATAGACTTTATCTCATTAGAGTACCCCGGCTGCTCCCTGACCTCATCGAAAGTACGCTTCTGTCGTTTGGTAGTGTTAAAATAGTTATCAGTCCCATCCGAGGCATTGGACACATTAAGGGCCGAATCTGAGTTGTAGTGGATTATATTAATTGGAGGGTCCAATTGACGTAATGATGGTGGGGAGCGTTGCACAGACATCTTAACTCAGATAGTTTGTAGGCGTTTGTCTTAAAACAAAGTAGAATTAAGCTCAAACTGGGCCGATGTTCACAGTTCTGAATAGATCAGTTACACGGTGCCAACAAAACAGACACAAAAACACGCAGTGGTGATCGATGTAAGGCGGGGCTCAACGTAGGCTGGTAGCTATCGACAGATCGGAACAAAAGTGCTATCCGTCCAGTATTACTTGACCTCTGGCTATCCCTTTTGCTCGTATATGTCTGTCCCTATCTGCGCTTACGCAGAGTAATTTTTATGAATAAGTATTAGGACTGTTCATTAATGTGCGCACGGGGGTGTGGCCATAAGATAGTAGATTTGACTCACGCGCAGGGTGAATGGTGGCGTACGTATCTCACGAAGCTTGCGACGTCCGTTACCACCAGCGCCTCACTCCTGTCGACGTATGCGCTCCTAGTACTTTGCACTGTTATTTTCCAAATTATTTTTGTTTATGTAAATTAAAGCAATATATTAAACGGTCACTAAAACAACGTCTGTGCTGCTTAGAGATCCACGAGAAAAGGGGATTAGGGTGATTAGGTAAAGGTCATTAAATATAAGTTTCAAGGCTATAAGTGACAGTGCCAAATCTGACTAAAACGTACTACCTTGTAACGCAGACATTAAATACTAATCCTACATGGGTTTAATAAAAGTTCAAGATAAAAGGACGGTTTGGCCGTGACCCACCAGGATGCGTATCACCGTATCGATGTATCTGAAGTCCTCGTCAGACATAAATGAATCCTAGAATAGGAGTTCAATTAAAATAAATGCAGTAAACGTCGAGAAAAACTTCCTTGCACTTTAATTTTGAAGATAATATTGCCTAAAGATTCATCAGGCGTAGGATGGATAATAAATTTCGTGCCACCGGACAGTGAACGAAAACACAGCCATTATTTCTTATACATTTCATTAGCCTATATATTATATTTACTGTCACCTATTTTGCTGAGTAAAACAAACAGACAGATAAGACATATTACGGTCGCATTCTTAACAGATGGCGAAAGATATCGCATAAATCAACGGAGATGCACTCGATGATAGCTGAATGCTTTGCAAATATTTCCCAGTTTCTACTGATGAAATAATATGGCGCCTAGTCCAGGATATTGTATGGTACAAGCTTGATATCAATTGTAAGTAATAAGAGCATAGTAACCTCCTTTCTAAGGAGAGGCCTATGTCCAGCAGTGGACTATTAAAGGCTGTTGATGATGATGATGATAATGAAGAGCATAGTAATCAGCAAGGCGCTATAGCATGGTGATAAGGGCCTTCCTCTTAAAAGTGTAAGAATAATGGAAAAAAGTTTTTTGGGCATTAATTCCCTACGGAGTCTTGGCTGGGTGACAGAATGTCTTCTAGCCAAACTACTTTTCTGCCTTTATATCGTGTTATTTGAAATATGATCGTTAGTACACGGTAATAGCAGCTGACAAATGCCATTAGGAATTGCGTTTTCGTATCTTTGCGTATTTTGATTTTTGGGATGTTCTGAATTCCTGAACTTGCATTTAAAGTTTTGGAGTAAGTTGTTTTTTAGTAATCAGTCAGTTCTCAGTTAGTCTTCAGTTCAGTAATGTACTAAAGTAATTCTATGTGCTTCTTACGCTGATTTCTGTGAAACGAAGCTGTCAGATATTACCACGTTCGAGTTTCTATGAGTGAAGGAGAGATAATAAGAAGTCATCACATACAGGTGGTTGTTTTTTTTTCTAATTTTATTAATATTTAAAATCCTACTTTGTTTTTAACACATCCTGGCCAGACTAGACTAGTCGTCATCCCCTTTTTTTCCGTGCCTCGGATACCACCTATCGGTGCCGTCTCAGGTACTAATAGCCGGGAAACCAGGTATACCCTAGAAAGGAAGTCCCTGGTGCCCCGACATACCTCGGGCCATCTACAGACGAGTAGATGACCCCCCCCCCGTGTGGGAACCCCATGTTCCCTCTGCTCCCTGGAAGCGAGCGCGCTTCGCAACGCGCGCGCCGCCACCCCGGCCTGCTTCTGCTAGGGTGACACATGGCCCCACCTGTCACCCCCAGGCCTGCGCTTATGGAGGACGGAGGTCGATCTGCGACCTCCGGCGCCTGAGTCGCCTGCGGTACCTGACCCGTTCCCGGGCCTGGCGGGCCGGGAGAGTTAGTCGTCATCCCCTAAAACTTTATTAAAATATTTGGGACTTTCGAGATCATGGCATATTTCCAGCTTCTATTTACCAAGAGTTATTATAAGATAAAAGAACACAATTATTAGTGTTTCCCCTATCCTAAAACAAATGTTCTCTATTTATACCTCTATCGCGTTTAACTTGGACCAAATACAACAAATATTATAAATCAGATGTGTACACTTTAAAACTCCTTTAATACGACACCTAGTCAGGTCAGGTATGCTGTGCAGCTGCTAATAGCTGTTAGTGATTATTATTAGCATACCAGCTTAACAGATTAACAAATATTTCTTGGACTACATTCTACAGAGAAATATTGTTTAAAGAAATACACAGGTATACACTTCTCTTGTTTTTTCTTTCTCTCTGGATTGACTTAGTGCTGATCTTGATATTTCGTATCAGTGTTTCCTTCGTATTCAAACTCGAGACTCATAATTATGTCATATCTGTTGACTTGTCAAGGATTAAGAATATGGAGTGTCATCACGCCTATTCATTCCGTGTGGGTATCGTAAGAGCCGACTAAGGGAGCAAACTACGCATAACAACAGCACTGCAAAGAGAAAAACTTGAAACTCAACCTACACCAACCAGTCTGGCCGTCTATGTGCAGCAGTGGACTATTAAAGGCTAAGATGTGAATTATCTGAAGAACAGTTGCAGTTGCCGTGGTCACAGGCTAACTGGTTCCGTAAATATTTATATTTTCATGTTTTTAACTTTGAAAATGATGAACTTCCATACAACCGTGCATCCTTTATTTTACCCCCTTAGGGGTGAAATTTCCAAAAATCCTTTTTTGGTGGGTGCTCAGAATTTAAAACCACTACTTGCAAAAATTTCAAGTTTCTATCTCTAGCGGTTTAGGCTCGGCGTTGATGAAAGTCGTTGGTCAAATAATTTTAAATGTACAGGAGGACGTTTAATTCGATGTAAATATGGAAAAAGTTGCATGGTATAGTGGGTATAGTGGGTCAAAGAGATAGGTCATCTGGTAAATGACTATTGTCGTTCATAGACAACTGCAAGTAAATAAGGCATTTTATTTGGAATATACACCACACTATCCTTGTGATGACGGATTAAGAATACAGAGTGTCACCACCCCTATTCATCCCGTGGGTGTCGTAACAGACGACTAAGGGAGCAAACTAAGCAGGACAACAGCACTGCAAACAGAAGGAAAACTTGAAACAAACCCTATTTCAACCCGTCTGGCCAGCGTGGTATAGTAGGCCAAAACCTCCTTTCTAAGGAGAGGCCTATGTTCAGCAGTGGACTAGTAAAGGCTGTTGATGATGATGATGTGGGTGAAGCTATAGGCAATAGCTAATAACATATATACTGGACCTCCATAATACTTTCTACAAATATATATTGAATACAATTTTCATCTTTCTTCTCTACTTCTACACATCAACTGTAAATATTTTCAATTTTACATTCCTCCGTCTGCAAAATTTACTTATAAATATAGATAACACTTATAAACAAAAACAATCACAGAGTAATAACTTCGATCTTTAACATCATTACTCTGCATTAGAACCGATCAATTCGGTACCCAATTTTGATATTACTTTTTTTTGCAGTTAACGATAAAATTTGCATACAAATAATACCGGCTTGGCTACCGTAACATTCGCCAATTCGTCTCACCTTACCCGTGTAATCACACCGCCTTCTGAAGGACGTACTTAATCGATGGTTTTGAGGAATATAGATTATTTTGTTATTTTATAATAACTTTACAATATGTTATAACTGTACTTAATAAAACGCGTGATCTGGAAAATTCCACTTTGAAAGTGCTGGTATTTCACAACAGGGCCGAGATCGCAACAGGGACGACTGGATGGCATAGTGGTTTATGTAACGGACTGCTATTCCAAAGGTCGCGGGTTCGATTCCCGCTCACGTCAAACATTTGTGTGCATGAACATTTGATGTTTGATTTGGTCTGGGTGTTTCTATGTATAATATGTATGTATTTACAAAAAAACAAGTATATATATATTTATATCAGTTGTCTAGTACCCATAGTACAAGCTCTGCTTAGTTTGGGACTAGATGGCGTTGTGTGTAAAAAAAAAAAAACTGCTATTTTAATATTGTATCAATAGACTGTCGATCGAATGTCGTCGGCATAGTTTTGCACTTTTCCTATTCTACTAACTATGTAAGATCAATGGCCTTGCCTTGATGACTTGTCATTGATACAAATGTCGTCGATGTATTTGTAACAGTTTGATAAACGGATGTTTTTAAATATGTAAGAAAATTATATATTCATATTTTCCAGGTTGTTGATATCACCTTTGATGACCTATATTACTATATCGACAGTCTATTGACACTGTGAATTTATGTTAATAGAATACTGATATTTTGAACGATGTCAATGGCGTCTCAATGGCATCTCAATAGCGTGTCAATGGAATGACAGTGGCTTGGCGTTAACAAAAAATAACAGAATTGAGGCCGTAGTATGATCAAAGTGGAATTGCCCTATGAAATAGTTTCGGAGTGTTGGGTTTATCTGGAGGGGGTTAGGTTGGTGAATGCATAAATAGTGGTTTTCTGGGAGGCCTTGGAATCACTACTTTGAAGCTGGGATACGCGGACAAGGCATGGCTCTCCCACGGTCCGGTTATGGTATATTAATGGTATAAATATATAGGGTAGAAATCACCACCCCTACCGACAACCCCATGTCTACACCACTTCGGTAGGTGGTGAATATAAACATACAATTTGGTATTTTGCTCCAAAATATATGTTATTA